CATACAGTGGTGTGAAAAAGTGTTTGCCCCCTTCCTGATTTCTTACTCTTTTGCATGTTTGTCACACTTGAATGTTTCAGATCACCAAACAAATTTAAATATTAGACAAAGATAACACAGGTAAACACAAAATGCAGTTTATAAATGAAGATCTTTATTATTAAGGGAAAAAGAAATCCAAATCTACAGGGCCCCGTGTGAAAAAGTGATTGCCCCCTAAACCTAATAACTGGTTAGGCCACCCTTAGCAGCAACAACTGCAATCAAGCGTTTGCGATAATTGGCAATGAGTCTTTTACAGCGCTGGGGAGGAATTTTGGCCCACTCATCTTTGCAGAATTGTTGTAATTCAGCCACATTGGAGGGTTTCCAAGCATGAACCGCCTTTTTAAGGTCATGCCACAGCATCTCAATCGGATTCAGGTCAGGACTTTGACTAGGCCACTCCAAAGTCTTAATTTTGTTTTTCTTAAGCCATTCAGAGGTGGACTTGCTGGTGTGTTTTGGATCATTGTCCTGCTGCAGAACCCAAGTGCGCTTCAGCTTGAGGTCACAAACAGATGGCCGGACATTCTCCTTCAGGATTTTTTGGTAGACAGCGGAATTCATGGTTCCATTGACCACAGCAAGTCTTCCAGGTCCTGAAGCAGCAAAACAGCCCCAGACCATCACACTACCACCACCATATTTTACTGTTGGTATGATGTTCCTTTTCTGAAATGCTGTATTACTTCTACGCCAGATGTAATGGGACATACACCTTCCAAAAAGTTCAACTTTTGTCTCGTCAGACCACAGAGTATTCTCCCAAAAGTCTTGGGGACCATCAAGATGTTTTCTGGCAAAACTGAGATAAGCCTTTATGTTCTTTTTGCTCAGCAGTGGTTTTTGTCTTAGAACTCTGCCATGCAGGCCATTTTTGTCTCTTTCTTATGGTGGAGTCATGAACACTGACCTTAACTGAGGCAAGTGAGGCCTGCAGTTCTTTGGATGTTGTTGTGGGGTCTTTTGTGACCTCTTGGATGAGTCGTCGCTGCACTCTTGGGGTAATTTTGGTCAGCCGGCCACTCCTGGGAAGGTTCACCACTGTTCCATGTTTTCGCCATTTGTGGATAATGGCTCTCATTGTGGTTCGCTGGAGTCCCAAAGCTTTAGAAATGGCTTTATAACCTTTTTCAGACTGATAGATCTCAATTACTTTGTTTCTCATTTGTTCCTGAATTTCTTTGAATCGCAGCATGATGTCTAGCTTTTCAGGATCTTTTGGTCTACTTCACTTTGTCAGGTAGGTCCTATTTTAAGTGATTTCTTGATTGAGAACAGGTGTGGCAGTAATCAGGCCTGGGTGTGGCTAGGGAAATTGAACTCAGCTTTCCAAAGATGTGATAAACCACAGTTAATTTATGTTTTAATGGGGGGGGCAATCACTTTTTCACACAAGGCCCTGTAGATTTGGATTTCTTTTTCCCTTAATAATAAAGACCTTCATTTATAAACTGCATTTTGTGTTTACTTGTGTTATCTTTGTCTAATATTTAAATTTGTTTGGTAATCTGAAACATTCAAGTGTGACAAACATGCAAAAGAATAAGAAATCAGGAAGGGGGCAAACACTTTTTCACACCACTGTATATTGATTGTAAGCTACTTTTTTCCAAAGTAAAACACAGCCAGTCTATTAATATGTGTGTTCTGGAAGGATGCATTTTTCAGACAGGCTGCCCAGACAGTGACAGTAAAACATCTTATACATACGTGTGCACACAAGTGTGGACAAATTGAGCGTCACTTTGTGGAATCAAGTCCAATGCTTTGGAGTCTACTCATGTTTTCTAAATGACTGAATTGGAAAATGGACATTCTAGGATCAACTCCCAGCCCTAGGCCTCTGCTAAATATTGATAGTAAAAGATACAAGACCCACCATTTGGATTGCCAAGTCGTTGACCAGTTCACTCAGGTATGTTCAGTTCTTAGTTTAACTCTTCATGTTCGGAGACAAACACTCTGAACCTGTCTGCGGCCATTCATTTTTAATGTTAGCATGAGCAATCGTGTGAACATGAGCTGTTTATTATCGGTCAGTCAGCTTTTAATGTTTTAAAAAATTGCAGAATTCCAGTTTGGTGCAATTCAAAAACTCACATAATCAAACAATATCATAGTTAAACTCAGACTCGTAAAAATGATGCACTATTGTGGAGCAGCACTTTTTAGCTTGGTGTGCAAGTCATCATAGAAGTAGCATGTGTTCATCTACAGTTCTTTTCATACAGATGTTTCATCCATAAGTCGCACAGGCTGTGTGCAAAGTCCTTTGCGCTGCACCCTGAAAGAGACCAGTGCTGTATAGTGTAATGCAGTATAATGTGGTGTGATGTACTGCAGGCTGCTGCAATGTAATCTAATGCTGCGTAATGTGATCTGCTTCACGGTCCTGGAGGACAGCAGCAGCAGGCGCTGGCTACAGCGTGGACGGGGAGTGGGATTTATGACAGCACCCTCTCCTGAGACCACCGCTGCACATTCCCACTGTTGGGAATATGATTATTGACTCTTCAGCTCAGTGATTTAATGAAAGGGTCTGAAATGAAATTACCTTTTTCATCGCATTCCCCCTGCAGGCGCTTGGGCCGTGGCCTCCCTCTGCGACGTGATGTATAATTCAATGAATTATATGCTGCAGATACCTGTAGATGTCAGCATTAGGTAACGTTCATGTTTGAATAGCCTTTCAGCGACATATGCCAAGTTTCGATCTGTTTATATGCCATATGGGCTTATTTGAAATTGCACGCTTGCTGTCTAATTGCTAGTTCTCTCGGGTTGTTTTTTATTTATCCATCATTTGAAATCTGTTTCTAAAGCTGACCACAGCACAGCTGGTTGTCACTCAACTGTGCATACGAGTCTCTGTGCTCTAAACAGAACGCACGAAAATGCATAAAATTCCCATTTGTGTGGTCTGTCTGACTGATCAATTGGCTAATAGCCGTAAAGGCCTTTGAAGATGCATCTGAGCACCGTAATGGCTGTTGCGTCTCACAGCTCGAGTGTTTGATGAGCAAACAGGCAGGGAAGTGTTCACTAACGAGCTCAGTGTTTTGTTTCAGGGCGCTTCAAACAGAGTTGCTGGCAGGACTGAAATCTGATTGTTATGTAAATATTTACCTGAGCACGTCTGGCAGGGAGTGACCTGAGATAGAAAGATAGAGAGAGGAAGGAAGGATTAGCTAAAAGGGGAGGTAAAGGAATAGTGCAGCAAATCAAAAGTAGGCCTACACAATTTTCCCCTCACTCCAAATGTAGCTCATAAGCCGAGACCCTTTTGTTGTCCAGAGTTTACTTCTTTAATTTTTTTACTGAGGCTAATGTAGTAATGGAAGATTATACTTCACTAATTAGCATCATGCAACTGCATGCCTACATTATTACCGGCTTCAAATAATGTTGAATTAAATTAAGTAATCTCGATGACTTTTATGCAGAGGTGGGAACAAGTCACTAAGTTGCAAGTAACAAGCAAGTCTCAAGTCTTCACACTTAAGTCCAGGGTCAAGTCCCAAGTCAAGATAGTCGAGTCTCGATTCAAGTCCCGAGTCTGATTTTTGGTAGCATTGGGTGCATAGGATTAAAATAAAAACTAGCTCAGCACTAAAACTAGATCAACCAACTAAAAACAACTGGTAGTTTGAGTCAGAGCCACTGGTGTTACAGTCAAAGTCGAGTCCCAAGTCTTTCTCGATTTTCTTGAGTCGAGTCTAAAGTCACGAAATTCGTCACTCATGTGGGACTCTAGTCCAAGTCATATGACACACCTCTGCTTGTATGTACTATACGTATGACGTACCATTATCTACAAGTTTGAAGACAAGTACAAATTTCCAAAAGTTACAAAAGATGGCAGCTGCTTCTTTTTTCTCCATACTACATATTTTCATCCATTTTTATATACAGTGTCAGATGTAATCAGATCTATTTGAGATTACTTAACAATTTTTACATAATGTGAGGCAAATTTGTGATGATTTAGACATGCAGTTTGCACAATGCTAACTGTTAGCTACAGTAGCCTCGTAGCTCCAGTGCAAAACTAGCAAACTTCTGATAAACCTGTCTTAGCTGATTGACTACATTTGGGGTACTGTGGAAATGTAATGTTTCAGACTATTCCTTTAAGTTACACATTGAGGAGATAAGAGCTGGCCATAGGGGGGGTTAGCTCCCTCTCCACATGTCTTTGTGCTCCCTGGGGTGTTCACTGCTTCAATCTCATCTTCTCACTGCCCAGCTGATGTGATTGACCTCTCACAGGCACTTAGTTTGGTGCCGGGTGATGAGTCCAGCGGCGACTCTCGCACTCTCTCCCTGATGAAAGAGTAGCGAAGTGCGACAGAAAAAAAACTCCACCCGTCAGTCCTTTCCGAGTGATTGGATACGATCCCCGCTTCTATTGTTCTGCTTCACCTTTGGACTGGGCGACAAACCAATTCCTTTAAGACTAGCGTATGTGACGAACAATGTAGCACCAGTTCATGCCTGAGCTAAGCCATTCTGTAGCGTTTGTTGTAAAAGAAAAGATATCTGCTTACTCAGCCAGTACTGGAGAATACTCATTAAAAGGACAGTTTATCTGTAAAAGTACATTGTTTAGCTGAAAACAGTAGCAGCAGGCATGTTGAATACTGAATTTTGTCTGTGTTTTTGTCCATTATTATGCATATGTGTGTTAGAAACCAATAAATCTCATTTACTTTATTTCCCCCTCAGTGCAAATATAGTTGATCAGCCAGGATATGTTTGGTGTCTAAGGTTTGCTTCTTTAGTTTTGGCTAAGAAGTCATGGAAGTCTGTATCCAATCAATTAGCAATGTGCAAACTGCATGTCTAAATCACCACAGTTGTATCAAACTGAAAGGAGTTAAGTAATCTCAAACAGACCACATAGTTTTTATGTGCCAACCTATTACTTTAACACGTCTTCCTCTCTTTCTCTGCAGTCCTGCGTGATGATTTCAGACAGAACCCTGCAGATGTGATGGTGGCAGAAGGCGAACCAGCCGTGCTGGAGTGCCAGCCCCCTCGTGGCCATCCAGAGCCCACCATTTCTTGGAGGAAAGATGGAGCCAACATCAATGACAGAGACGAGCGCATTACGGTGAGCTGTTGCTGTTTCAGAGTTCTAATCCGAGATAAATTGTGCTTTATCCAGTCACATGAGCATACATGATGATACAATTAACAAGAGCCCTGTTACAATTATAGTTCTTGTCAAACGTTAGGGGTAACTAAACTTTTAATGCAAACGATCATCTTTTTCTTTGTTGATTTGCATTACCTTGCAATGCAATGACATATTAACGCAGTTTATATGGAGAAAAACACAAATATCACAAAATATCAAACTTATAAATATCAAAGAAAGAAAGAAAAATCTAAAAATAGATCTCAATATTTCTGTAGTTTCTCTTCAGATCTGATGGAAAGACAAAGAAGACTTTTGCTGACATCTCTTGCTCTTTAGACATTTCTCCTGAGCAAAATAGTTCAGTAATTTTACATGTATCTCCTTGAGTTTCAGTAGAGATCTCAATAAAGTCACACTTTGGGCTCAGATTTGCCATGAAAATGCATCTCTTTTTTATCTCTTGTGGGAATCATTTGATCACTGTGCTTGAGAAACAGAAGCTGCCTTAAATGAGCTAATGAGTCAGCACATGCAGCATTTGACAAACTCTCTTATCCAGAGTGACTTACAATTTAATTATTTTACACAGGTAGGTGAAGGAAGTGTTAGGTGTCTTGCCCAAGGACTCTTATTGGTATAGTCCGCTTGCCTAGGCTGGGGATTAAACCCCAATCTACAGCGTAGAAGGCAGAGATGTGACCCACTACATTATACAAATACATATTCATTGTTTTAAGTTCTAGGTAATGCCAGCTAGAGCTGTTCACCTAGTTACAGCCAAACTTGCCCTGACTTTTCAATTTTGTCCCTAACAGCACTTGGCAACACGCTTGGCTATAATGTTTCATGGTAGCAAAGTGTAAGACATTTAATCTTAAATACAAGCAAAACTGTCACCCTTCACAGCCCTGTGGAACGTTTCACCGAATTGTTGGCATCTGTTTTCACTCACTTACTTTCCATGACATCATGTAACGAATGCCTGAATGGTGATTTCTGTGTTCAATACTGACACCCAGAACAGTTACCCATATACAGTGGTGTGAAAAAGTGTTTGCCCCCTCCCTGATTTCTTACTCTTTTGCATGTTTGTCACACTTGAATGTTTCAGATCACCAAATTTAAATATTAGATAAAGATAACACAAGTAAACACAAAATGCAGTTTATAAATGAAGATCTTTATTATTAAGGGAAAAAGAAATCCAAATCTACAGGGCCCTGTGTGAAAAAGTGATTGCCCCCACCATTAAAACATAAATTAACTGTGGTTTATCACATCTTTGGAAAGCTGAGTTCAATTTCCCTAGCCACACCCAGGCCTGATTACTGCCACACCTGTTCTCAATCAAGAAATCACTTAAAATAGGACCTACCTGACAAAGTGAAGTAGACCAAAAGATCCTGAAAAGCTAGACATCATGCTGCGATTCAGAGAAATTCAGGAACAAATGAGAAACAAAGTAATTGAGATCTATCAGTCTGAAAAAGGTTATAAAGCCATTTTTAAAGCTTTGGGACTCCAGCGAACCACAATGAGAGCCATTATCCACAAATGGCAAAAACATGGAACAGTGGTGAACCTTCCCAGGAGTGGCCGGCTGACCAAAATTACCCCAAGAGTGCAGCGACGACTCATCCAAGAGGTCACAAAAGACCCCACAACAACATCCAAAGAACTGCAGGCCTCACTTGCCTCAGTTAAGGTCAGTGTTCATGACTCCACCATAAGAAAGAGACTGGGCAAAAATGGCCTGCATGGCAGAGTTCCAAGACAGAAACCACTGCTGAGCAAAAAGAACATAAAGGCTTATCTCAGTTTTGCCAGAAAACATCTTGATGGTCCCCAAGACTTTTGGGAGAATACTCTGTGGACTGACGAGACAAAAGTTGAACTTTTTGGAAGGTGTATGTCCCATTACATCTGGCGTAGAAGTAATACAGCATTTCAGAAAAAAGGAACATCATACCAACAGTAAAATATGGTGGTGGTAGTGTGATGGTCTGGGGCTGTTTTGCTGCTTCAGGACCTGGAAGACTTGCTGTGGTCAATGGAACCATGAATTCCGCTGTCTACCAAAAAATCCTGAAGGAGAATGTCCGGCCATCTGTTTGTGACCTCAAGCTGAAGCGCACTTGGGTTCTGCAGCAGGACAATGATCCAAAACACACCAGCAAGTCCACCTCTGAATGGCTTAAGAAAAACAAAATTAAGACTTTGGAGTGGCCTAGTCAAAGTCCTGACCTGAATCCGATTGAGATGCTGTGGCATGACCTTAAAAAGGCGGTTCATGCTTGGAAACCCTCCAATGTGGCTGAATTACAACAATTCTGCAAAGATGAGTGGGCCAAAATTCCTCCCCAGCGCTGTAAAAGACTCATTGCCAATTATCGCAAACGCTTGATTGCAGTTGTTGCTGCTAAGGGTGGCCTAACCAGTTATTAGGTTTAGGGGGCAGTCACTTTTTCACACGGGGCCCTGTAGATTTGGATTTCTTTTTCCCTTAATAATAAAGATCTTCATTTATAAACTGCATTTTGTGTTTACCTGTGTTATCTTTATCTAATATTTAAATTTGGTGATCTGAAACATTCAAGTGTGACAAACATGCAAAAGAGTAAGAAATCAGGAAGGGGGCAAACACTTTTTCACACCACTGTACATTACCTGTGTATGTCCCAAATGAACAGTTACTAAACAGTCCAAATACAGGATCTCCTCCTTGTTAATCAAAAAGTAATAGTGAAAATGATATTGCAGTCACATTTCAAAAAAAGGCAACTTCTGACGTGCAACATACATAAAGAGAGCATTTACACCACATTTCATTTGAACAGATAAATTAGACAAGCTAGACATCCCACACAGTGCATACTATCTATACTGACTGAGTGTTTATGCGTTTGCATATTAGGTGGTGATCTATGGGCCATTAAGACTGACAAGTCCGCTCCATAATGTCACAGCAGTGTGTTAAGACACAACTATGTGTGCAGATAGAGCTGTCACATGTTGATTTAGGACGCTCTGATGGACCTGAAGGCAAACCAAAGGGAAGAATGAGACTCTGCTTCTCTCTCAGCCTGCCCAGAAACTCAATCGAGCCTTTCCCGATGATGAGCCTCCTTTAATTAAGCGTATATCCCGGAGTGAGGGAGGTATCAATCACGCCTGACCGTTCGTTAGGGTGGATTGACCTCAGAGGATAGCGGAGCGGCTTTTAACAAGGGCCAGCAGCTCTATCATGCTTTTATTATGAGGATGCAGCAGAGCCCGCTGGGAATACTGAAAGCCCTCTTAAAGCGTGTGTGTAGGAGTGTGTGTAGGTGTCTCATGTGCATTTGTGAGATAATGTGTTTAACAGAGGGGTTGTTGAAAATGCTTCTTCGACACAAGACCCTTTCCTGGACCTTGAGGAAAGTCCAGAGAAGGAGAACGGCACATACAGCAACATATCTAATATATAAGGCAATGTCCCTGTCCAGTGTGAATTATTGATATCAGAGCAGCTAAGGGCATGTTTTAATGGAACAGTATTTTCCATTTTCTTCTTTTCTTAATGCTTTTTCACAGTAGGCATTAAGTATGAGGTCCGTCAGTAGAACCTTGCATGTTTTTTTCTTCAGTAACGTTTATGCAATATATTTGAATAGAAATGTTTTACAAAAGTGAACTAGATTTTTGTATTTGTTGGTGAGTAAGCAAGTGTTTATAAAATGTTTTATTATGTTTAAATGCTTTTATATTATGGCATACTCAGTGTACAGGCGAGTTCTTCGTCTGGCACACGAGGGTCCACTCCTTTACGGATGAGGGGTGAACCTGAAGACGGCGCATCCATAGGCTAAGGGACCCTCCTGGTGAGCTGGAACAGGTGGTGGGCAGGGCACCCAAGGTGGAGAGTGGGCGCACTCCCCAGTCTTAAAATTAGCTGCCAGGGGATGTTGCACACCATCCTTGCTTTTTTCATTTTTTCCCTTGTGGCAAATTATAAGGAGGGGCTGGTAGGATTGCTATTGCGTGGAGTACTGACCTTTGGATCACTTGATGACAAGTGGGTTGGATACCTGAGGGTTGTCCCAAAGGATCAACTCTTTAATAGCCCAAGAATGGGCATGGGCGCGTGCCTATGCCACTGCGGACGATATTGGGCAAATGGTAGCAGCCGTATAACTGTATATAACAGAGTTCACATCTGTTGTCTCCAAAAAGTAGCAGTTTAAAGTAACTAACAGCCTAGCATATCATACCCAAATTGAAATGGTATTACAAACTTGACTGTACTTGAAGTCTGAATTGTGGTGCTGTATATTGGATCAGACCTGTTGCAGGATTGGGGGCAAAAAAAAACACAAAACAAATTGAACATCCCTGTGAGGGGCTGTAAGATCTAGGACTGTTTATACTATTAAGGCATTCACACTACATTTAATGCAACAAACTGCTCAAGTTAGATCTGCTTTACAGTGTACACCATGAGACTATTCAGTAGCAGCGCTTAGTGTTCGAATCTCGTTGTGAGATTTCGGAGTGTGATCCTGTCTGAAGGGTGAAGAGATGCCCTAGTGCCCTCCATCATCCCCCTTCTCTAAAATAATGAAAAAATGGCTGTGTGGAAAAGCAGAAACTTGGGAGAGTCCTGCTGTTGGATCAAGCCGATAAATCCATTTGTAATTACCCATGAAAGGCAGCAGATTAACAGCTCTTGGCTGGAGACACGCATTTACATGAGGGAGCTGAAAGCATCCTGACGCTGCTGTGGGTGTGTGTGGGTGTGTGTGTGTGTGTGTGTGTGTAGACCACACTCCTGGCCTTCTCCTGCCAGATCAAAAGCAGTTATTTGGCAAACACTCATCATAATTAACAGAAGCTAGTGCGTAATGTAATTTGTAAATAAAGCCACATCATAATTGTGCCTTGTTGTCAATAGCAGCCCATATTCCCCAGGATGCACTGCTAAAATCTTTACA